TGTTGGTGCAGCAGCTATACAGAAACCTGAATCTGAAAAGGGGGCCTTTTGTGTTACTTGAAGGATCTCTGTGTCAGAAAACTTGGAGTATTCTAGTTGTTAATTTTTTTTTTGGTAAGTGACAATTGTAGCTTCCAAGGACATAAGAAAAGGTGTGTGTCTCAGACCAAAGTTCAGCCTAACCTGGTGTCCTGTCTCTGGCAATGGCCACTTCATGGGAGAGACGGTGTCTAGGTCAGTAACTGGAGTTAGTGTTACTAGACATGGTGTGTTTGCTGTCATAGTTCAAAGACCAAATAAGTAATACACAGTTTTGTAGATAACTAATGCAGTGTTATAGTTAGAAGCATACCTTCTGTACTAATTCTAGTCTGGGTGATCTACTTCTTCTTACAGTGTAAGGTTCTCTTACCTCAAAATTTCAGCTGGTAGGAGGGGAAAAATACTTTCAGAATATTGTTGGACTTTCCTGCCTTGTATATTATCCTTTTGTGGAGCTCTGCAAAAGAAATTGAGTGAGGAACTGTGACAGATTACAGGAGATACCTTTCCATAATGTTCCTCTTGGCCTGGCACCTGGATTTCTGTGATTATTTCTGGGCAAAAAATAATATATCTAAACTTGGCGTTCTGCAGGCCTGCCTTTGTTTCTGGGACCGTAGAGGTGGTGCAGCAAATGGCAGCAGAGTCCAACAAAGATGCAGGTTTTCTGTGTCTGTGTGGAACTGAAACCTCTTCCCTACAGATCCCCACAGTACGCGAGAGGGATCGTTGCCTCAAAGCTTTGCATCAAAAGAGGTCTTTCCGCGGAAAACTTCTGAGAAGGAAGCTCTGAGAGGCTTCCTTTTCCTTTCTCTGTGTATTTTTTTTTTGTTGTGCGGGAACATATTTAACAACTTTTGTGAAAATTATCAGCTAATAGCTATAAATATTCATATACAACTTAGTCTCAAAATAAAGACACAAGTAGACAGATGTAAAACTGTGGCTGTGAGGTGAATCATAAACTGCTATTTGGGCCAAGATAGGGGTTTGATATGCTATAATTAGCACTGATTATTAAATACGGTTTTCCAATAGACTCATATACAACAGACCTATGTACATAGGCATCATTAGTGTTAGTACTGATTAATTCCATGAAAGGGGTAGAAGACATTTGGGATATGTTTTCCTAGATTATTTTTTTAAGAAGAGGAACACATTATTTACTGCTCACATTTCTTCTGTTCTTATTTCTTCTTTTTTCTTTCATTTAGATCCTGAATCCACTTGTTTCCAAAGCACAGCTTTCTCAAACACTTCAGTCCCGCTTAGTTAGTTGTAAAATCATGGGAAAATTAGCTAACAAATTTGAAGCTCATATGTAAGTAGACTGTACATGTATTTTCATTCCACAGTATACACCAGTATTTCTTTGTTAGTGAGCAAAAATTACAAGAGAAGCAGATTTTATTGCAAAAGTTAAATGCTTTCTTTTTACAGAACCCTTTAAGTGGATATTAATTAATAATAAAAAAATGTTCGTTATGTAACTAGCATACTCAGACTTGCTGACATTCATCCGTTTATAACTTCAGTTTGTGTATTCTTCCACAGCTTCGAGTAGGTACCATTTTCATGCCATTCTTCCCTATTGTTTTTCTTACTGGGAGATAAGCCAAAAAGTGCATTTCTCTGCAATTTACAGAGACAAAACACCACTTCATCACCTTAGAGTTTCTTGTCATAAAGAGAATAATCCTGTTCCTCACTTTTTATTTATCTAACCAGATTTAACTTTTTTTTTTTTTCCCTGTCCCTAATTAAATGGAGATGTATCAGGAGCCACTCTTGTTGCCTGATTTAGTGTCCGTGGGTTTGGACACTGATGCAGAACAGGGAAGCAATGGTGAAAGCAAATATGAATAATTTACTTGCCTGAAGTAGTTGGTATGGTGCATTCTTTGGACAGTTTGTCCAGTCTTATGATAGTAGGACCATTTCAACAAATGTGTTTCCTATCCAGGCAATTGGGCACATGTGATTTTGTATTATGAAATAAATCCACTGAGGGCTTCTAAATGCACAGGAATCGTGCCTAGCTCAGGAAGTCCACCCTAATAATGATTTGGATCTGCCCCAAAATGCAAGAATTCAGCCTAATAGAAAATATGAACAACAGAACTGTATGACAAGACATTTAGGAATAAATTTCTTTAAATTATGGTCTTTTTCTTGAATAAAAAGAACTAAAAACAACCCAAAGGAAACTATCTAGACCTTCATTTGCTATGTAGACTACACTTGTTGGACATGCAAACGTTAATGATCATGGTGAAGTAGTATATTTTGAGAATGTTACCAAAGCCTTTGTGTCCAAAGAAGAGCAGCAAAGATGGTGAAGGGTCTACAGCACTAGTTTTGACAAGCTCTGGTAGCGGGCTATGAGTGCAGTTCAGGGCGCTGAAAAGAGAGCAGGATCCCCAGGTTGGGAATGTGGCAAGCTGAGTAAGATTCATGGCTCACTCTCATTCCCCTTGCAGGAGGGCTCTTTGTCTCAGGAGTAAGCAATATATAAGCATATCTTCACATTCTTCTTCGTAATGGCGTAATTTTCCTCATAAAACTTATAATAAAATTAAACCTCTTTCTTTTGGATTTCACATGACTCCCAGGTTATTTTATAGAATATTGAAGAAGTCCCGACCTTGGAATAGAACATCAGTTTTTCTACCCTCTGTTCCAACACCTAGTTAAAAACAAGTCTTATTTGGACGCAGTCTCTACTTCAGAGTGTTTTAAAATGCCATACTGCCAAGGCTTTCTACAATATTTGAAACTTGAGGCCAAATTTTCCTGTAAGCAGTAAATTAATTTTCACTGGGATGAATGGAGGCTGTGCAAGCTGGCTTGAAAATTTGCTTGTCTGTGGCTTCATATTATTTCTCTTAAGTTTTGCAACAGCATAAAGATTTGGATAGAGATATTTTATGAATACTCATGACAGCATCTTGGGCAGTGAAAGGAAACACAATGGCTGATTCTGCCAAGTTGTAGTATGTGTTTTTACTTAAACAGAATTCAAAATAGTTATTTTGTATCTGCCATTGATTGAGCATGAATACTTGGATCTACTTGCATAAAGGCATTGCAGTGCTGAAGCTTTTAATCTTAAATTATTTTTCTACTTTCCAAATATTTCTTTGGTGATGCATGCATACTAAAGATGAGGTATTAGAGACAATTAATTGGGATCTACACTTCCATTTATATAACTCTTTGTATTCTTACAGTGGCTGTTCAAAAATTGTACTGAAGATGGTTATTAAATGAGGACAGCATCTCTAAGCCTACCTACTTTTTTGTAGTTTAAAAAAAATTAGGTGAAATATGAGCAAATTATAATGACTGTAAATAATCCTTTTTCTGTTTCTTTATAGCACATATTTGCTTGATGTGCAGTATTCTTTTATAATTGCAAATTCTCAGAAAAATCATTTACCATGTGTGATACATCAGTTCTAAAAAACTTGCCATTAGAAGTACTATATGGGAAAAAAATGAGTATTACAGAGTGGATTTTATATATTCTTGTTCTGTATATTAATAAAAAATGTTCACATTTTTAGTATTAAAAGAGAGATTCTTCCATTGGTAAAATCACTGTGCCAGGATGTGGAATATGAAGTCAGAACTTGCATGTGTCGGCAACTGGAACACATAGCTCAAGGAATAGGGTGAGTACAATTTGCATAACTGCTTCTAAATGCAAAATCTTTGTCTAAAATATTTAATGGTAACCTAAAAACTCATTTTAAGATTTCTAACTTCATTCATGAATACTCAATAATGAAATTGGAGTGTACAGATGTGTTCTTAGAAACTGGCTGTTGGCAGTTGGCTCTTTTCCATTTTCAGATTTTTTATTTCTCTCTGATAGTAAAATTGCTGAAACGTACAAACAACAGTTTTCTGTAAATAATGAGTTCATCTATAGCTTCTTGAAACCATCTCAATTATCCATTGATGTCATTGGGCTTATTTAAAAATGGAAGAGGATTATGGAAAGTATGAGCAGTTTCTAATAATTTCTGTGCAGTTTTTTGTGAAAGGATGCTAAATGTGTTTTGTAAGCAAATTTCAGTTCAATATCAGCTTTTACTCTTAAGCTTGAAGACCTTCAATATTGCACATCTAGGAACAGAAAAAGTCTGGAACATTTATTTCAATAAATAGAACATGTTAGCTACCCACACAGGGTAGTTAACACAGTCTCTGAGTGAACAAATTGTTTAAAATTCTAAGTCTGTCCACCTTGTATTGTGTCAGGAAGAAAAAAAAGCAGTAACTTCTCTTACAGACTTGAAGAAAATATCAATTAAGTTCCCCTACCCTGTGTTACACCGTGGAGATAGATTCAATTTTAAGAGTCCCTCTGGATTTTGTGAATTTGTGAGCAAATTCAAGGACGAGGCTGAAACTGAAATGTAATTTGAAAGATATGGCAAATAGGCACTTCAGTTTGTTAGTACCGGTGTTTGTGGAAAAGGTGCCTTCCCGTGGCTGTGGAATGTTTTATTTTTTTAACATGGAGAATTATGTTGTGGTTTAGATTCTGAGTTATTTAAAAAAAACAAACAAACACAAAACACCAGAAATTCGTGAAGCAATGCGATTTACTTCTCAGCCATGGAATACTGGACAAGTGTCTGTTTGGGCAGTGTTTTAGCTTACTCAGATATCGGGAGTGAATATCGACAGCAACAACTCAGCATTACAGTCCTGTACTTAATATAACTTTGTTTTGTTAAGGTCATGCAGGGTAGAAATTTCTAGATTCCTGGATAAACTTGTCTTTATTGCATACAAAATAATTTTATATATGTGCTTTAGGCAACTCTTCTGCAAAGTCCTTGTCCTGCAAAAGTTCAAAGGATGTGAATAATGTAAAAACACAATATTACTCATCTCAGTAAAGTTACTCATTTGTTTTTGTGCTTTTTTTTTATAATAAAACATAGGTTAGCAAGGTAAATAATTTTAACATTTTCCACAATGAATGGCTTTGAATTTAAAAGAACTTGTGATTACAGAAAAGGAAGGTAATATTTGTCGGTATTGTTGATATTTGTAAATCTGGAAATTTAAAATGCTTTTTACTAAATGGAATTACTGAATAAATTGAGCTTGCATTAATTTTACTGTGTGCATGTATCTCACGTATCTTTATGTATCTTAAAATTGAATAAAAGTGAAAGAGAGGGTTCTGTTTATCTTCAGGGAGTGACTAGTTGTTTATAATAACTACCGAGTTTCGAAGGGAGGGACAGTTCTAACTGTCATACTAGTTTGAAGATTTTTGATGCCACCAAAATGAAAATCCACAGAAACATATTTGCAAAGCATTTCTTCCCTCGTCCTCGTCCCCCCGCCCCGATTTAGGATGTAGTCCCACCTTTTTTGTCCCCCGACCTTTTCTAGGCTGTATGTTCTTGTCTGTCTCAATCGCCTTCCTTCCTCTTTTTTCATTTGTTATTTCTCATGAGATTTTTTTTGATGTCTTATTTGAGATGCTGTCTGCATTTCCGTGGATTCCTCTAACCTTCTCAGTTAACCTCTGCTATAGTCAAGAGCTGAGAAGTATATGAATTTGGCTTTGAAAATTATTTTTGACACATAATACAGCAAAATATATTTTTTAAAATAGTGTGTGTTATTCTGAGTGAAATAAGTCTTATCTAGGGTATACGTATAGTTAGAAATTATTACTTTCAGATATCACAAACATTTTTTTATGTTTTAAAAATGTACAGCTGCACAGTTTTCCTTGCCTTGTCGCTCAGTCTGTTGAGAAGCAGAAAATTATTTTGGTGGTAGCCTTTAGGAAATACAGTTTGTGTGAATCTGTGTCAGTTTGCTTCCAGTTGTTTTCATTTGTAACAAGGTGGCTATATCTTATACTAAGAAGTGACCATTTTGGAAAGGAAATAAACTTTTCTTCACTCTGTTAAGTGTCTTTGAAATGAACTAAATTGCATTTATTATACTTGGGAGCTGAAAGTCTTAAAACAAGATGGGTGTTGTGCATTGACAAATGACAGTATTACTGACAATTTACCCAGCCTTAGAATAGTGGTGTAATCAGACTAAATACACAGTTGTCAATTAGTGGTCCATTCTGTATATTTTTCTTTAATTTTTTCCAACTTTTATCTTTAGAACTAATGTATCCATATACACTGTTCTCTCTCTGAGGTTTTTGCCTAGTCCCTTCCCAATTATTTAGATACTTTAATCTCATAACAAATGGTGAACTGTTGGTATTTTCAGTATGTAAATTATTGCAGTGTTTCATGTTGGGGATGAATAGGTAGTAGGAAAATAAACACAATTAAATAAACAGAAATAAGCACATGTTTAGGTGAATGTTGAAGGCATCGTGTGACAACAGTCCCAATGCTTATTTTTACTATTTAGTGATGTTACTACTAAAAGATATCACGTCATTTTCTCATAATTTTATGTGAATGATTAAACATCTGTTTGGAAGAATACTGTTAAGCTACATCTTGCTTTGCTGGTAACAATAATAAACTCTGTAAGGTTTGCAAATCACTGATGATGATGATAAACATTTGAAAGTATTATTGTTTGTACTGATTTACAAAAGGGACAGCTGTTACTTGTTTAGTCTGATTGGAAGGGTATTTTGGGCGTTTTTATTTCAGTAAAAATCTGGCAGTCTGGATGTTGTGATTAGTTCCGTATTAAAAACTGTGTTTGAAATGACGGAGTCTAAACTCTTTGTACGCAGTTGCTCAAAGTGTCAAACAGTTTTGAATTTGTCGTCTTGATTAATGCTCACGTAGTGTAATTTTATCAGAGTATTTCCCTGCAGTTTTATGTTTTGAGTGGGATAAACATTGAGGGCCAGATCTTTGGCTATTGCAAATTGCTGAGGTCCTGTTCTTGAGATGTGGTGCTTACAACAACTTCCACTAATTAACGAGCAGACCGAGAGCTCGTACAGGAGAACAGGACAAAGTGGGCTTCTGAACTCAAATGCAGACAAATTCAAACACTAGGAATCAAATAAAAAAATGAGTATGACAGGAAAAAAAAAGTGTCAATACTGAGTATGTCTTCCCAGTTCTTGTTGACAGTAGGACTGTAACCTCATAAAGCAATCAAGAATCAGATATATGCTGGGGCATGGGTAATGGTGCTGGATGGTGGCTTCTACAGAAGCTATACTTTTGCTCCAAGAAGCCAATCTCTTTTCTTCTCACTTAAGCTAGTCACCTTACTGTGCTTATGTTCCTGTGTCAAGAGTATTTCACTCCTCCTTAGTCAGCTCGCTGATTAAACTCTGATTTCTAAGTCAGTCCCCAGTATAGCAACCTGCTGCCAATTCAGGTTGTCAGGACCGTCAGACGTGCAGACAGTGCTAGTAATTACCAAGGCAAAAAGAAACAAGCAGAAGCCTTTCTTCACTACTTTAAAAGAAGCCTAAAAGCTTGTGTTTGGACTAGTTGGGGAAACCACGTTTTCCCTGAGCAGTAGTTGCTTAGCCTCTGTAAAGGAGGCTGATCTTTGAAGCGTGAGATTTCCAGACACTTCAATCCAGCATGACTCATATTCAATAATTTTTGGCTTTGGGCAATCGTATTGAGCAGTTTCTGCATATTTGATCAGAAGAGTTTTCTTAGTGATACAGTGAAGTAGCTGGATGCCTTTGAGTTTTTTCAGACTGCATTTTCTCTGATTTATTTTGAGCTAATTTGAATGCTTTTTTAGTGGTGAAGTTTAGCATTTTAGGCTTGCATGTTTCTTTGGCTAACAAGGAAAAAAGTCCTGTGATCCACTGGAGGTTTTCATTTCATTTTCATTTCCTTACCACTTTGTCAATTTTTCCTTCTTGACTACCCAAAAAATATCTGAGTATTTCAAGGAAGAACTCCGTTTTGCTGTGGCAGTGTTGTTTCATTATACATTTTCTCTTGACTGCTTGCCTCGCTTTGCAGGACAGAACTAACAAAAACTGTGGTGCTTCCTGAGTTAGTAGAACTGGCAAGAGATGAGGGCAGCAGTGTACGCCTTGCAGCTTTTGAGACGTTAGTGAATCTGGTCGATATGTTTGATGCAGGTAAGAATGTAATTTAGGCTTACTAGCCCAGTTCTTAATGCTTTAATGCATCTCATAAATGTATACATAAATGTATATGTGCTTTTTGTTCTGTCTGCATTCTTCAGACATTTCTGATTTTTTGTTTATTGTTTTATCCCTTATGTATTTCATGTCTTGCAGTGCTTTATACATAGAAAGTTTTAAGGAAAGTGAACCAGTTCTCCACGAAATCAGTTGTCTTAGTCCAAATTTCTAATGTAATGTGGCTAAATGGAATGATTAAAATTACTGTGTAACTGATGGGAATATTGGGTTGTTAGTACTTACTTAATGCTATCAGTAGACAGATTACAAAATGTTACCTCAACAGATGCCATCGCTTGTGCTTTTTTTGCGATTAACTAGTTTTTGCCTCTTAACTGAAGTAAAGCTAGTCCTAGCTACAGACTGCTGCTGCCTGCCTTCGGAGCAGAACCCCGACTGGGGCGATGATATGGTATTTGTGTGTGTGTCAGTAAACCTTGCAGGTTTTAACATCCAGTGTTCTATATCAAATACATTTGTCAATTTTGGAACAGAAAATATTTCTTCATGTCCCATGAACTGCAGTGTGCACAACTAGTTTTAGAGGTACTGAGCATCATTACTATTTAAATCCCTTTAAACTTGTAGCTATGTGGTTCTGAAAGCTTTCGTCTTTGCAATGAGAAAGTGTGTGTATTTTATAAAGCTTTTCTGTATTTAAAACAGAAAATGTAAATGCTTGTATTTTTCTCAGCACTCTGTATCTTTCCGCTGATCAACATGCATATCTCATGCTTCTCCAAGTGTAGGGGTGAGTGTCTGTGTCTTCATCTGAGGAACAGAAATTCTCTGTTGTATCTGCTTCTCTCGGCATAGTGGTGGTGGATTCCCTACATGCATGGCTCTCAGGTTCTCATCACAAGTTCAGTTCAACATTGACTGGGGCAAACTTTAAGAAGAGCTACTGTGAGTGCTCCAGTACAGGGGGACATTCTGGGTAACTGCTGTGCCTTAGCCTCCAGTCAACAGCTCTCTAAATTTTTTCAGGGGCATGTAGAAGACTATAACAGCCAGTTTTTCTGGCTCTTTATCGATTGTGCTCCCTGCTGGTTTTTGTTTTGTGGTTGGTTTTTTTTTTCTTTCTTTACAACTGGAAATGTACAAAGCAGCAAAGGACGATAGATCATTGCTATAGTGTATATGAAAAAATATTTTTTCATATCATCGTTGATCACTGCTCATTATTTGCCACTTTGCTCTTTATACTGTCTTTTTCCAAACTTTTCAGTTGTTTATCTTCATTAGCAACTCTGTGTTTTCCACCACATTTCCCACTCCCACTCCCATCTTACTGACTCTACTACTCCTTCCTGACACATAAGTGAGGAGCAAATATTTACTGTACAGAAACTTGGTGATGAATTACTAAAATACGTGATCGCATATAAGCCATCTGGAAGAGTACATAAAGAAATAAGATAGTTTTGGGGAGAATACCATAAATGGACTTTTTAGCAGTTAGTGCGTATATCAGTAAGTGTGATAGTAGGTTATTTTTCAAATTGTTGAGCCTTTGCATTGGTGCTGTTAAGTTTGTGCTTCTCTCTGCACCTCCCAGTCTTCAATCCCCCCCCCAATTACTGTAACTACTGCATTTAGCTGTTGAGAAAAGCTTAGAGAAACCAATCAGGGATTATTTACAGTTTTGTAAGGAAAGTTTTTTTAGAAATCTGGTTTGTACAGTTTTTGGTTTCGTGGCTGAACTAGAAAATGAACATTTTAGATGACCCAAAATTATATCCTAGGGTTTCCTTCCCAGAATATCAAAATATTTCTTCAGATCAACCTAAATATTTTGTTCAGCCATAATTATTAACTGAATTTTGGCGTTGATCTACCATTAAAAAATCCTAATCCTTTTGAAATTGAACATCTTAAAATACAGTGGTTTTATTTAAAACCAGTCGAAACACATGCATTTCTTTGGACATTTACTCCTTTATTTTATAAGGAGGCAGAGTGCTTGGATTTGACTTGTAATTTCTAAATGGTTGCATTTCTTTCCTCTGCCATTAATTATTTTGTTTTTCTCTGGGAATGTATTATTTACCAAAAGATTTTCAACCTCATCTTCTCAGTAGGTTGAAAAAATTCACTTCCAGCATATCGAGATTTTTCTTTTTACTGTCATGATCATGTTCGGTCTTGATCTCTCTGTGTTCCTACTATTGTAGGAAACCTTATTGTAGGAGTACTCGTGTTCTTTATTTCCCTGTATTCTTGGTGAATGGAGAAGTTAGTGACGATTCATTTATTCTCTGTCTCATCCTTTACTGGGGGATGCCTTTTCCCTAAAACCAAACAAACAAACAGTTAAGGTATTAAAATTTAGGACCTTATTATGATTATGTTTGTCATTTTCTGTACCTCTGTTTTCTACCTGCAGTGAGTGCCTGTCAAAAATACTCCTGAGCATGTTAAATTATGTTTTTCATAACTTATTATGGAAGTCCCCTCTCTGTGCTCTTTTTTATATATTGACAAATGGCTAACTTTAAACATTTCTTTTGTTTTTCAGATGATAGGAGTCAAACTGTGCTCCCCTTGGTGAAATCATTCTGTGAAAAATCCTTCAAAGCGGATGAATCTATCCTAGTTTCTTTATCTTTCCATTTAGGGAAGCTGTGTAATGGATTATATGGTATGATTCAATGTTCTTTTAAAGAAATCTTAAAAATAAGGGAAGATTGGAGAATTGGAAAATATTCAGATTTGAATGGATCAAATGAAATCATAGTTAGGAAAGGAAATATGGAAGTAAAAATCTGAAATAGTTTATCACATAAATATTGGATTTTCTGAATTTGCTCTTTGGGTGTCCGTTTGTTTATTGGGTTTTTTATGTTTAGACAGGGACAGTTTTTTGTTTAGCCAGGGTCAGAGGTGGAAACACGATGGTTTGTGTTTATTGGTTTGACTGGTTTATTTTTTTTCCTTCTTGGATATTCTGGAGCTTGTGAGTTGGATGACTGAATTTTTGAAACTGGAAACTTTTGAAAACACAGTATGATGTTAACTGTGTATGTTCACTTTTGTAAGGCACAGTACCGAGTGTGGCCCATAAGGAACTTCAGGAAGGGAGACCTAATGGCATGTGGATTCCCAGCTGCAGCTGAGGCCAAATCTGTACCCATAATTTTTGTGGTTTTCACTTGATCACAGCAGATCTTTCTTTGATCATTCTGCCTACCATATACCTGCTACACAGAGCTTACCTGGGGAGGGGCAGTACAGAATCATGGTTTTGCATGATAGAGAATTTCCTCCGAGACTCTTAAACCCTTTGGTCGTTCTTGAAGATCTTCAAAATTATCCTTTATGACCATGTTATAGGCTATCAAAGTGACTGTAGCTTCACTAAAAATAACTCAAAAGGTCTGTTCCACAGTGTCAAACTGATACTTACAGAAACATAGAGCCAGGACAGTCCATCCTGGTTTTATCATGTCTTTCCAGTCATCTTTTCTCTAGGTTGAATGGCTTTAATTGCTGATTTCTTTTCACCTCTGAACCCTGTCTGGCAAGTTCTTGTTTTTCTTGAAGTGTTATGCCTTAGGAGAGCTGAACAAAGGGAAACGGTTGCTTCATGTGTCTTGCAAGCTAGATTGCTGTTTACATTTTTCAGTATAAAAAACTGCCTTTTTTTTTTCAACAGTTTGCAATCGTATGACATTCTTTGTTGAAGTGCAGCCTATAGAGCCTTTTTTTAAATAAAAAAAAATCTCAACTAGTTAGTCTTTCTCTTTCCTGGCCTTATGCAGGTGATGTGGATCTGGCTAAATGTGGTACCTTATTTCTGTCCTAATAGAATAGGAGTTTAAAGTTTTAAGACCGTAAGTCCAGTTTCTGAAGATCATTTTAAACTCTGTCTTCTGAAGAATAAGCAGCCTCCCTCCTAATTGATATTACCAGAATATTTAACAAGCGAAGTCTCTAATTCAACATCCAAAAAAACAATGAAAGTACTAAATAGTACCAGAACTAGGATAGACCTTTCTTTTATACATTTACCTTTCTTGTCAGTGAGCCATGGTTAACTTTCTCTTAACTGTTTTTCTAAGCAGCTTTGCAGCACCTTTATAGTTTTTCATCTCTCTTTCCTGATCCCTTATTTTGCTTGTGAAAAACACGACCTTTACTGCATTTTGTATTCACAGGTCCTGTTACCAAGTACTAGAAGGAAATGGAATCAGTTTGACAAGTTTTGCTTTTGCCATGTTGGCTGCTACTCATTTTCTTGTTTTCTTTTCTGTATTGACGAATAGATTTTTTTGATTTTTGTTCCAATTTTTTCAAAAAAATGAAAGTAGTCTTACTGGTCTGTAATTATATGGCTTGTCCTTCACCTCTGCAACTGTTAATATCAGTACCACTTCAGCTCTTTTCCATTCTGATATCTCATTTAAGATTTCAGCAGCCAGTGCTTTAAATACTTCTGAATACTGGAATAAAGCACATCTGGCTGTGCACATTTTGAAAACCTTTCATGTTTAAGTATTCACCGACCTGATCCTTCTCTGCCTAAAGTTTGAGTCTTTGTCACTGTTATTAATTGTACTGAGTCTGATGATACTAGTGGAATTTGAGAAAGAAAATAAAAGCATCAAGCATTTTGACCTTGGTACGAGTCACTGATAGCTCTCCTCTCTCTCTTCAGTAGAAAACTGAGCCTGTCCTTGATTGTTCTCTTATTACTAATGTACTTATAAAATTACTTGTAATTTTTTAAGTCACCTTGCCTGTTGCATTCCAGCTTGTTCTCAGTTTTCTAATTTTATTCTTATACCTCTTGATTATCTGTAGAAACACGGCCTAGTTTTTCAACTTTCTGCAGGCAGGCATTTTTCACGTGACTGAGTTTCACAAGGAAAGTTTAATCACAAAGAAAGTTTAATCACAAAGAAAACAGTATTAGTGGAACAAGCAAATAGATTCACAGTCCTACAGTTAAAGTCCTGAGTATTTCAAGAATTATGTAAACAGAAATTAAGATTCACTCTGTTATAGTTAGCTGTCATTTTTCTGTAATCACTTTTTTTGCATAACGTGTACTGATGATACTCTGTTAGACTCAAGGTGGGGGGAGGAGGGATAAAAATCGACATGTTTGGTGGATTTGTAAATGAGATTGGGGGGGCAGTATTAATAAATAGCATTTGTAGTGAGGAAAGTAAACTTTTTTTTTTTTTTGAGGCATTTTTACTCCTGAACAGCACTTACGGTTTTTGGAATTTTATAAGAAACTTTCCACACTGGGTTTACAGCAGGAAAACGGACACAATGATAATCAACTACAACTTCAAACTCTGGAACAGGAAAAGAAGTATATTTCAGTAAGGAAGAACTGTGCTTACAATTTTCCAGTAAGTAACATTAATTTAAGGTTAAATAATTTGTGTCATGCGTATAGTTCACTAAATAGGACTGCATAAGTGAAAGAGAAGTTACGCCCAAATTGTACATTATTAGCTGGATCCTAGCTCTGTCTTGGAAAGTTCGGGTTAATGGCTTAAAGTAGAGGTTGTCCAAAAGCATTACCAGGAAAGATTCCTCTTTGCAGAGCCTCAGAAAATTATTGGCAACTTTTGATGGAGTGCTTTTCTAAGAGGTCTCATTCCTTCCCACGCGTTTTCTCCAAGCCATTGGCACAAAGGCTTTGAGAAAATGGCAGTGAAACAGATTCCCCACTTTCAAACCACTCAAAGCTAGGTTTTACCATTTGCTGTGGGTCATGGCATTCCAGGGAGATGAAGGTTGAATCTGAATGGTTAGATTCATGTTTTAGTCATGTTCCTGCCTGAATACAGAGAGTCTTTTCAATTTTATGTGTGGTCTTTAGACTTACCACTCATGTTTCTGTAAATCTACTTCGTATTTTGACATTCTGCATTTATATTTAAAGAAAATATGTTTATACCGAGAGCCAGTAGACAGTTATTTTTATTCTGCCTTTTAAAGATAAGCACGCTGTATTTAGGTAGGTAGACATCTGTTGGTTTATTTGACCAAAACCAAGGTATGTACACAGACAACTATGTTGAAATTCAGATGCTTCCTTTGCTGCTTTCTAAAATGGTCTTTGTTTTTGAAGTCTCCAGTTGCAGCTTCCATTAGTGTACAGAAACATTAACAATATTTATAAAACTTAGGTTTTATATCTTGTGGTGTTAATCTATGTCTTCAGAAAAAAAGCTGGCAGCATGTCTGCAAAATACGTGAATCCAGTTTAGTTCTCAACTCCAGAATTTGTCTGGTGCCTGTGTTTTGACACGACCATCAAAAATGCCATACTTCCTCTTTAAAATCACCACCTGTTATCGCCCAAGTGTCTTGCTGGTTGTAACTCAATATTTTCATCTGATAATCTCTGATAGTGCAGTCCTTTAGCTATACAGTTAATAAAAGACTTTATCTTTCCACAGGCCATGATTGTTTTTGTGGATCCAAAGAACTTCCATTTAGAACTGTATTCTATATTTTTCTGCCTTTGTCATGACCCTGAAGTTCCCGTCAGATATACAATGGCCATAAGCTTCTATGAAGTAAGTCTACAACAGTTCTTTGTTACTACTTGCATGTTTTTATTTTGTTTTCTTCTTTACGCTTACATTTGTGACTGTTCAACCAAAATAAAAGGACTTGAGAAAACTTGTTGGAATTATTTAGTTTGTCAAAGGTGTTCAGAGTCCCTTCTATCCTCTCTGTATAGCCCAGGTACACACATTAGTCTATTTAAGTTGTGTGACATTTAGCTACAAGAGCCTACTGCTAGGTGAGGTTTTAAGGAGAGAAAGCTAGAAGAAATTTCGAATGGTCCAGTACCACAAACATAAGCAATTGTAGTAATTACAATATTTGAAGGTTTTCAATGCCATTAGAAAATAACGAAACAAATTTGCCACTTCTGGTCCTGAAAACTTTCTTTAGAACTGCACAGTTTGCCACTCTGCTGGTGTTCTATGGAGAATATATGTATGAATCAAATCAAAGTTAAATGCTCAATTTAACATGAAACTACTTGGAAACTTATGCATATGTGAAAACTTATGTATTCTTATTGTTCCATTATTGTTCCATTCAGTTTACATAAGTTCTGCTGCATTATTTTCATGGAAGTTAAAAAATGTACAACTGCATAGATATTATTAAATACACGGGGTGAATTCCAGAAATGAAAATACACTCTCTCCAGATTGTAGTAACCCATGTAGGGAGATCTTCAAGGTTTTCACGGTGTTTTACTGAGAACCCTTATGTTTCAGTCCTCGAGCTAGCCTTTCATCCCAGTTTGTTGCTGGGTAAGTTGGTAAGTTAAGCAGCTTGCTGAAAACATTTAAATGACTAGTAGAGGCAAAAATGGCTTTACTTACACCATTATAAGAAAATGGATGGATTTCCAGTTCTAGTTACCTACTGATGCCTTGTCTTAATGAATGGTAATCCAAGGTAATTGTTAAAATTGTAAAATGAGCATCTAATTCTACATAATATTTTGTGTTAGATGTGTAATGCTTTTAAGGTACTGCCTGAATATAAGCGAAGTACTTTAGCTCATTCAAAAAAATCTGTAAAATTGTACCTTGGTCTGAATGTACATTTAGTGCTGGTTGATTTAATTTTAACACCATAACTAGGCAAACACGTGACAGCCAAAAATGAGTAATTTATGACATTCACTGCGAAGTGGATTATTTTTTTTTTTAAATAAACTCCCTAAACCCATTTCCCTAAAGCTTCATCTTGATTGGAAGTAAGCTCTTCTTTTCAGTTGGCTCATATAAATAAAGAAAACCATTAAAAGGCATCTTCTAAATATTCTGTATAGCAAAAATCTCATTCCTCAAGTTTCTTTTTCGTACTTGCTGTAAAGTCTTTTTAACAGCGTGGAGATGGACTGCTGGTGTTTTTTAGACATTTAGGTGTGATTTATGAATCACAGTAAAAAAACCCAGAGAAGTAAGGAGTGAAAACTTCAGATGGAAATGTTGGGGAAACTTAAAATCCAGCACAGGCTAAGCCAATGTGTATATTTTATCTTTTGTAAATTATATAGCAGACTGACTGTTAACTCTCCTAAGGAGCATGAAGTACAACATTTGAGTATTCCAGAAGGAATTTTTCTAGCTTTGCAGTACAGTCTTAAAAATTTTTGGTAAATGTGAAATAAAGTTAATTCGAAAAGTGTGTTTCATGGTAAGGTAATACGCCCGTTTCTTGCCTCATGTTCTTTGTATAAGCATACTTTTAATGTGACCAGTGAGAAAGTACACAACTTTAGACAGCTGATATTTAACAGTTGTTCTGCATCCCTTCTTCATGCTTGCTGTAAAGTAAGCACATGTAGGAGAGCTGTTGTAGTGCCATGGAACTAAAGAATGCTTCACTTTGCTATCTTACTGTCATTTTTTAGGTTGCTAAGCTCTTAAATTCTGGTGTGTATACAATACATAAAGAACTGGTTACACTATTACAGGATGAGTCACTGGAGGTAATATACTTTTATTGGAACTTTCTTTTGCTTGTTACATTGAGGCAGATTATCTTGATGTTTGATAACTCTGCAATAAGACAGTACAGTAACTGTTTAAAATGATCAACAGCTTTTCTGTTTCACAGATACTTCATAAAGATACTGGCCTTCTGTGAATAAAAAGGAGGAAAATAGGAAAGCGTTTGAATTTAGTAAACCCACACTGAATTTAGTAGCTTTAAAAATATTCATTCTAGTTTGTTTAATTGCTACATTATTTATTACCTTACAAATTCTGTGGAAAGATTTGGGTTTCATATTATATTAAAATAATTGTTGATAGTGTTAAAGGTTTTTGCTATGTTTTATTTTTATTTCTCCAATGGAAGAGGAGAAGAAGCAGCTTTGTATGGTTCAAGGATTAAGATTTATAGAAATAGTTTCAGTCCAAGATCTGGTACAGAATTTGTGAGTGTTTGTGAGACAGTTTAGTTTAGTGTACCTCAGTTTCAACCTGCGTAAAACATGAATCACTTAGTTTACTACAGACAATAGTGAGAGTTTGGGGGATTGAAAAAAAGACAAATATTTATGTTTGAGACAAAACAAATGGTTTGAGACCATTTCCTCTGATACCAGTTATTCCAATAGTTGATCTTTTCCTTTCTATGTAGAATCTTTGGATGTGGTATGGAAAAATGAGTTTTGCTCTCAGATGCTCCTTTTTGTTTTGTTACCCTTTGGTAGACATTCTCCAGGAAATTAAAAGTGTTCACAGAACATCTACTTACAGTTTATGAAATTCTGACACATCTTAAAAGATTGCTCAAGTTGAACACCTAAAAGTTGAGACTCAGAAGCAGCTGATGATTTTGAAAAATTCCTTGGTTTGATCCCTATAAAGTTACCTAAATAACAAAAAAAATATTTGGTACTTTATCGTATGTACCACCTCTGTCAGAATTGGTGCAAAAAAATTTTTCATTATGTACTTTTCTAGCCTAGTTTCATGTATTACAACATCTGAAAATAGGGTTATTCTACTAAGATAGACTATTTATTCTGTTATAATTGCTAAACTGCAGTTTTTCTTAAAGCAGGAAATACTGCTTTTAAGATTCAGCTGACAAATATTAAAAAAGCCCGTTTCTGTGTGTTTGTCAAGGCTCTTAACTGTCTATGAAATACAGATCTTTCTTAAGAATGAATGTTTATTTTAAAATATTGTATGCTGTGAATAGTTAATAGTTTAGAAAGCATTGAGTTTGATATTCACATGAATCAAAACTATAGTTTGTTTTCCTAAACTGAAACCTATAATACTTATATTACTTACTACATTAAAAAATTTTTTTTAAATCCCAATCCTCATCAATGCAAATGTGTTGCTTCTTTTGGGTTTTTTTTTTTTGTGTGGTTTTTTTTATTTTTTTAACATGGACATGAGAACAGTAATAGAAGAGATGTTCGCAGGCATATGTTAGTGAGAGACAAAAATTGAGTCAAGTTAATTTACAGACCTCATTCATGCAGCCTTTCTTTGAATAGGTGTTAGATGCCCTGGTAGGTCACCTTCCTGAAATCCTTGAACTAATGACTAATGGAGGAGAAAACAGTGGATCAGAAAGCAAGGTGGGTATTCTCATGTTTTTTTAATTTGCTTTCTAAATAAAGTTAGTGGCAAAGTTGTTCACACATATATTGTATGATTAGTTTCTGCTTTGGAGAGCTATATAAAGCTTCTGTGTTTTTTTCATTGTTTCTTGACTTTATAAACTTTAAAATAAAAAAAAGGTTTTGAAAGATTAGACTTAATATAAAAATGAACAGTTTATCCATGTTCTTTTTCTAATTAACCACAGGTTTGCTGAATTAAATCAAATTTTGAAATACAATCATTAAATTAAAACAAACCTTGGTTTTGTGCTAAACGGGTGGTAGCTAATAATTAGTCTTTTTGAGATATATATATAGATATATATATATATATGTGGCGGCTGCCCATGGTTGCCATTTTCAGACAGTTTCTGCTACAAGGAAGCCTATTTCCTGAAGTAAAGGCACTGAATTAGGATTCAGGAGATCTGTATTCAGCTCCCAACTTAGCTAATTTAATTGTATGTGGCTCTGGATGGTGGTTTATTCGGGGACTCCTCACCTGTAAAATGGAACATAAAACATCTCCTGCTTCAAGATGGTTTTTTGAGCATACTTCCTAAATGTGTACAGAAATTGAGATATTCCAACAATATACAAACTGAATACATTTATTTTCATGTATGGACAAAAGTTGAGAGTGTAATTTGAAATATGAATTTGTCAGGTGTTCACAGCTGTACATGTACATAACATATAACAAGTGCAATGTCAATTGTGGCACTCTGTTTCATTTTGCTTAGTGCTAAAGAAAATTTAGCTTGGCTACTGTAAAGCCTTTGCCTCCTACTGAGAAAAGGTGTATAATTCCTACTAAAATTAATTAGGGAGCTGAGAAGAAAAACTGCAAAGATTAAAAGGCTAGAAGGAAAATGGGATTTATTTGGTTTGAGAAAGAAAACACTGAGGAGGGTTGTCGTAATGGTCTTCATATCTGTAAAAGGGTATTACAAAGAGAGCAGTGATTACTTTGTCAGGAGGAGGGGTTGGAAATGAAAGTGCATTTAGTTAGGTACTGGATTAGCTTTTTGACTAATTAAGTGGAACTTACTGCTTAGGGGGGATTGTTTAATCCCAATCATTGAATTCTTTTAAGAACAAGTTAGACTAATATCTACTGGAAATGATCACAGCGTAGCTGCTCCTGTCTGAGGAGAGGAATTAATTGACCCTTTAAAATCTCTTCCCTTCTTATGTTGCTGTGATGTGTGTTTTAAGGATAGCAAGATGACATAGAGCTAGAAGGTGTAAAATTATTTTAATGTTTATATTTTTATTTCTAGCTATTGTCTATTCCTGACTTGATTCCTGCATTAACAACAGCAGAACAGAGAGCAGCAACTTCTTTAAAATGGAGAACTCATGAGAAGTTACTACAAAAATATGCATGTCTCCCTCATATCATATCGAGTGATCAGATTTATTACCGTTTTCTTCACAGAATGTTGACAATCATTTTGACAAATGTAAGCCCACCTGTCTCTTTTTCCCATTTTTTTTTTTATCTGTTTACGGTGTTTAGAACAATGACCACCAGATATTTGCTATGTGTAGTACTTTATATACTATATTAATCTTAAAGTACTATTTCTCATTGCGTATGGTATATCAGGCTGGGTTTTTTTTATATATATGAGACTGAGAAATTGCTCTGAGAACTCCCCCCCATTTGAGGAGCAAAATTTGAATTGACAGATTGTCATGTTTTTCTTCCCACTCAAGACTTCTTTCCTTCCTGGTGCTCATTATCAGTTTGTTTCTAGCTAAATCAAAACTTTTTCCTCTGGGATATGCCTTCTTTTTCCTGATTCCGTGGATGACTTCGCATTGTGTTCCATTCTTTATGAAAGAACACTTCATTCTGAAACTGAACGGTGATTTAGAGGTACTAGTCTGAAATTTTAGTGAATTAATTCAAGAGTAAAGCTGTCTGTTGTAAGAGAAGATGTTGTAAGTTTTATTTTCTAACACCTACAGTATAGAAGGTGCCTTCCAAATGTGGAATGCTTTAAGACGTTTATGAAATAGTTGAATAAACAAGTTAGGCAGAAGGGATAAAGAAGCTGGTGTCTCATGAATTGGCCAAACTTCCTTATTCTCCCTTACGTTATGCCAATTATTTCAAAATTTATAAAGTTAGGCTAGTTTTTAGCTATTTTTTTCTACTTCTAGAATTTTTACACATTTTTAGCCATATTTCTTCAAGTATGTTTAATTGTGTTCCATTTATTTCTTTCAAGAACGTGCTGCCAGTCCAAAAAGCAGCTGCTCGAACTCTCTGCGTTTATTTACGTTATAATCGCAAACAAGAACAGAGGCATGAGGTTATTCAGAAATTGATTGAACGTAAGATAATTTTTCCTTGATTACTTAGAGATGCAAGTTAATTTTGACTGAAAGTCTGTTTGTGGTTATATTTATTCAGTGTAACTTCCTGCCATCATTGGTGGGATTATACTTAGAAGACATTCAATTGCTCATATTATCACCAGGCAAAACATATTGTGCATATGTGAAGAATATATCTGAAGCTTATGCAAAGGAATTGGGAAAGAGGCAATGTGGGAAACTGATAATATGCCAAGACCCCTCCAGCCCTAGTTCTTGAATCCAAGATTGCTTAGCTGTAGGCGCTGCGATATACAAAGCAGAGTTCCTCTAGAGAAGGAAAATTCTATAGAGGCTTCAGCATAAGAAGTGCTGAATAAATCTTCTCAGAAATTAAATTATGAATGAGTTAGTCACCTAAATTGACTTTCTGGTCTATTCTATGTGTTTTAAAGATAGGTTAGAAGTTTGAATAGTTCACATTAGCAACCCTTAACGTTTACACAGTAGTTTTGATACACCTGTGATACGGTTTGAAAGGCACACAGGGCTTTGTTCAACATGGTAGCTAGTTCTCTTGCTATTTTTGCTTTTTCAAATGGTTAAATGGACAGGTTGTATTTCTGAACAAAATGCTCACTGACAGAAATGGTCATTGAATTCAGAAGTTTAGGTTTTCACTGAAAGAAAGAATTGAGATAGGCTGAGGAGGTGTGCCTTGTGATGAGTGTGATTATCATCTTTGAATCAAGGGTTAACCTTTGAAATGTTTTCTAGCTGACATTTAAAACTTAATAGATAATATCTGTGCATTGTTATTTTTCAGAACTGGGCCAAGGAAAAAGTTACTGGAACAGACTTCGTTTTTTAGATACCTGTGAATTCATTATGGAACTGTTTTCAAAATCATTCTTCTGTAAATACTTCTTTCTACCTGTGCTTGAACTTACACATGATCCAGTGGCCAATGTGAGGTACTGTACAAAGAGTATGTAGCAGTGTAAAAGAAAAATGTTTTAAATAATATATTAAGAAACGTTTTTACAGGTTTTATATCTTGTTTAAATGGTGGGACCTGAGTAAAAAGGCACAGAGCCTTCAGGGTGACCAGTGTTAAAGGTGTAAGGGACTATGGGAATGATGTTGGAAAATCACAGAAGCAGGTCAGTCTGAGTGTTTGGGGGACTGATCAAAAGTGTTTTGGGAATGAAAGGAACAATGAGACAGAGGAACCAGCAATAAAGGAGGAGAAAGTAATACGCTTTTTCATGGGTATAGAGAGAGAAACAACTTCATGGTCTCCATTAATTTCCATCCATTTCAGCATTACTGTGTGTAAAGCAGAACATGCAAGCAATTCTTTCAGTGGTCTGAGCTTAACAAGTTAGCATAGGTTTTACCTTATGTAAAAGTTCTCTACTTCATTGTTAAGGTAAATGGCAAAATAATAGAAAAACATATGGGAGTTTGGTATGTTTTTAATTTTTATATGGTGTTTTTTCAATTATTTTTGTAGTCAATTTTTTTTTTCACTAAACAGATAGGGACCAGGCATTATTACCAATAAGAAAATAGTTCCTTTTTTTTTTTTGTCATGTATTTTGTGTGAATTTATGCTTTTTATCTTATTTCTGATGTGTGTAATTCATGTTGTCACCATTACCATGTCTGAACATCTAATACTAACGCTGCACAGAGATTTACATAAGCATAATTTGCACATACATGTGTGCATTCAGTAAGCTTCACTAGGTACAGTTTATTACCAAGTTAAACTGTTTAAATAGACCTTGTGTTTAGTATAACTCTCAATTCAGCAGGATCCCAAATGTAAAAGTTGAGCCATTTTCTGCATATATGTTAACATTCATATCTCGTGTTCTTAAGTTGAGGATTATATCAAAACAATAAGTTAAATTTGTATGTAATCAGAAGTAACATTGCTTTTAACAAACATTTTAATTAAAAGCTCTATTGATACAATATTAAAATTTAATGAAAACTTGAAATAACTCGCAACTCCTTAACTAGCATTAAGATTAATTTTGCAATAATTCTTTTTGGGATTATTCCCTATCACTTTTTACAAAAGGAATGCACTGTCTGTAGTGGACTGAAGTTTAGAAGTCAGACATAGTTGTTAGCTCATAATTTCAAAACAAACTTAGGGACATATTATTCTAGCTTTCTACAGAGTGCTGTAATCTATCTAATGGTAAGTTGTGAAGGTTAAAATGCTTTGAAGGTATAAAACCAGATGAATTTCTAAAAGAATTTTTTTTAATGTTAATAATCACAAAGTTACTATTTCTAGCACAGAATTGTTTCTGATCACAAGCCAGTGGGATCTGAGAACAGAGGAGAATATCACCATGTATTGTTCTTGAGGGTTTTTTTACTATATGCCTACAGATTAAAAATATTCACTATTATTGAAGTCTGATCAAATGCTGTAATTTTTATTTCCTTAAATGTATGGAATATTTTTATTAAATCTGCAGAGTGTTTTGGTCTTAATAATGTAAAAAGCAATTAACACTTTTTTTTTATAACCAGTTTAGAAACAATATCTAGGAATCGAGGCAAATCAATAATTATAGAATCAGAGAACCGTTTAGGTTGGAAAAGTCACTTCAGACAACCGTGCCAAGTCCACCACTAAACCATATCTCTAAGCGCCACGTCTACACGTCTTTCAAATACCTCCAGGGATGGTGACTCCCCTACTTCCCTGGGCAGCCTGTTCCAGTGCTTGACAACTCTTTTGGTGAAGAAATTTTTCCTAATATCCATCCTAAACCTCCCCTGGCACAACTTGAGGCTGTTTCCTCTTGTCCTATGGCCTGTTACTTTGGAGAAGAGACTGGCATCCACCCGGCTACACCCTCCTTTCGGGTAGTTGTAGAGAGTGATAAGGTCTCCCCTCAGCCTCCTTTTCTCCAGGCTAAACAACCCCAGTTCCCTCAGCTGCTCCTCATAAGACTTGTGCTCCAGATCCCTCACCAGCTTCGTTGCCCTTCTCTGGACACACTCCAGCACCTCAATGTCTTTCTTGCAGTGAGGCGCGCAAAACTGAACACAGTACAACATCCACAGCTTTTCCCTCATGTAATAAGCGGGTCACCTTGTCCTAGAAGGAGATGAGGTTAGTCAAGTAGGACCTGCCTTTCATGAAGCCATGCTGGCTGGGCCCAATCTCCCGGTTGTCCTGTACGTGTCACGGGATGCACTTAAGGTGATCTGCTCCATAATGTTCCCTGGCAGCAAGGTCAGAGTGACAGGCCTATAGTTCCCGGATCCTCCTCCCAACCCTTCTTGTAGCTGGGAGTCACATTTGCTAGCCTCCAGTCATCTGGGACCTTCCTTGGGTCGGCAGGGCTGCTGATAAATGATGGCAAGTGGCTTGGTGAGCACTTCGGCCAGGTCCCTCAGTACCCTTGGGTGGATCCCATCCGGCCCCCGAGGCTTGTGCACGTCTAAGTGGTGTAGTAGCTCACTGACCATTTGCTCTTGGTTTATGGGGGTTCATTCTGCTCCCCATCACTGTTGTCCAGCTCAGTGAGCAGAGTACCCAGGGAAGAATTTCAGCCCTTAGTACAGAAAATACATGGTTACGTTCACATAAATGCTTTATGCCATTCAGTTTGAAAGCAGGCAAAGTTGAGCTTCACAGGGGCATGCTAGTAACAAATAAAAATGCATCCACACAGTGACTTGGGCTCCTTCGTACTGATGGACCAGATTTCCAGGTTATTTAGGTACCTGATAGACTTAGGCATATAGATAATTTTGAAAATCTAGAGGTCTGCTTATATTTCTAGGTTAAACCTCCCCCCCAAACCAAAGAAATCTTTATTGACTTTGAGATAGATACAGGACTGTAGTCCCGATATATGAAGTTTTTGAAAATGTTACAGTATGTCTGGAAACAACATATAAGCAACAATAATTTCTGAAAAATAAGACCTACTCGCTAATTATTTTATGTCAAATGCTAGCATGTAATGCAAAATTAATGTTTATTAAACATCAGCACCACAAGGTGAATATTTACTTTTTTTTTTTTTTTTTTTTTGTAGAATGAAGCTATGCTATTTGTTGCCAAAAGTTAAATCTACTCTGAAGGTTCCCACTGATAAACATTTACTTCAGCGGTTGGAATTATGTATAAGGAAGCTTTTGTGTCAAGAGAAAGACAAAGATGTCCTGACTATTGTAAAAAGAGTAAGCATTTTTCTTTTCCAGCAGCGGTTTCTCTTGAGATTATCATTAAACGTTAAGATAGTCAAAGTTATGCTTTCTGTTGATTCTCTTAATATAATAACAGGAGACTAAAGAATTCTATTGTCTGTTATGTAATATTGAACAATTAATAGAAGAAGTAGTATAGTGTATTCTGTCAAATTTAAGAGAGTTGGTGTTTCCTTGGTTACTTATAATGCAGTTATTTTTTAGTGGTTGGGATTCAGGATTTTGGTTAGATGACCATTCGTGAAAAAATAGCAGATGACTACAGATAGGATTAAAAGTTCACCCTAGTAAAAATGATCAAGTCTTTGAGGCAGAGATATCTTGTTAATCTGTTTATTTTACAATACACAGATAAAGGATTTGCAGGAGTGTGAAATGTTACAAATGTCTTTGTAATATGAATATTCATGAAAAAGTACATCTTTAAGGGATGCCCATGCTTATTCTTGAAGAAGCCATGAAGTGAACTAGCTGAAGTAGGTGGCTTCCTCATAGGTCCAGTCTGCAGGAGAGAGTGGGTCAACACCAGCCTGAGCATCCTGGCTTATTCCCAGCTTCCTGGGTTGTTTTTTCAGTCCTGGTTCCTAGGTCCATGCTTCAGCCATTCAGGCTTCTGTGCTTTCCTTGAGTGTAGTTTGATTGCCATATAGGTAGTCTATTAGTTCTTTGTTGTGAGTCTCAGCAGGGCTCTGAGAATACCCTCTGACAGATTTTAACTGCATTTGTAGCACAAAAATACGAGCATAGGCTTCAAATGTTTAGGAAGAAAAGGTGTGTTTAATTTTGAATACCGCTATTCTAAGCTTCTTATTTGGACAGGTTTTTTTAGTTAAATGTGTGGCATGCTGTTGAGTAACGATGAATAATGTTTTGATTTTCTTTATAGACAGTGTTAGAATTGGACAGAATGGAGATCTCTGTAGATGTTGTAAGTACTTACTAACTTTAATACTTACCAAGTACTTTTAATTTCCATTTTCATGTAGTGATTTTTTATTTTTATTAATTTTATTTTGAAGTTTCAGAAAAGATTTTACGAAAATGATTTATTGGATCAAGAAAAAGAGAGACAAGAACATCTCCTTTTGGAAATGGTATATTTTATCAGTACAATCTGTCCTTTTTTAATAGTTTGTAGCTAAATATTAACAAAGCAATAATTGTAAGGTAGGGGAAGTGCATATTATGGAGACACCTGGTAGGTTCATAATCTGTGTATGGTTTCATTGTACACTTTACAATAGGGTTAAGTCCTTCAAAGTAACATGTAACTTCTTTTTCTTCACTACCTACATTTTCCTGTATCAATTAGAAAGGCAAACTGAAATTTCTTGAAAAATACTCGTGCTTGATGGCTCTATAGTTCTAAAATCCCAAGCCCTTCAGCACACCTTTATGAAATCTTTTTGAGGGAGCTTAGCAATTTGCCAGGCGTGTATAACATAATAGATTGAATAATGAAACACCTCAGAATTCACATACAGCTTCCACAGGCAAAGAAATTAATGTCATAACTTCTTTTGTGCCAAGGAAGCCGAAGGAGGCTCTCTGTGTTTCAGGCTTTCCTGTTAGCCAGAAAAAAAAAAGAAGAAAGAAAGGCCATTGACATCTGCAGCCCGGCAGGAGGGAAACTTAGTGCAGGTTGTATAGAGCAAAAGGAGCTACAAGTTACTTAGGGTTTGGAAGAGAAGTGTGCAGAATGCTTTTCCAACTTATAAAACTGTTCATCTTCAGTCATGGCTGTAAGCAAAAGCGTCAGCAGGCACTCCACCACATAGCCTACCACATCTTCACAAAGCCTAGGTCAGATTGCTGCAGTCCTCCGTTCTGCTGCCTCCTCTCCAGCCTGAGGTGGGAGAAGCCAAGAAGCTGATAGGATGTAGAAGACGACGAATTTCATTAGCATAGATCCCCTAGCATGTAGTAATTCAGCTCCTCTGTAGTGAACCAGAACAGATTCAAGACTGTCTGAAGTCCCTTTTTCCTCTTTGGGGTTGCTACAGAGCCTAAATTTGTGGCCGCTGATGTCAATAGGTACTGCAGGCCTTCTCGTGGGCAGTTGATTTCTCAGTTCGTGATACCTGTCTCATGGAGTCCATGCCACCTCCAGCCAAAGGCTCAAGCTTTGTTCTCAGGACCTGCATACACACACACATTCAAAGACCCGAACTTTGCTTTAGGAATTTTTAGGTAGATACAATTTTTTTATAGTGAAAGCATTTTGGGCTGTGGTAAAATAGCCTCCAGTGCATACTGTGTTATAGCGTATTGTATAATAATATTCGTTTTTACCTTGTTTCTACAGCTAGACTTTAGAAAGGCAGCTGTATTTTTATGATATATCCCATTGGTATGGGCATACCTTCTGTGTCACAAAGGTCTCATTAAGCGTTGCCAGTGAGAGGCATGCTTTTGAGGAACTGGAGGTGTACACAGTGAATTGTGGCATGTTGCAGTCCCAAATAGATGAGGAGCCATTGAACCCAGTTAAATGTATCTGACTGCTACAGATTTTAATATTGAATACGTTAATAAGTTTCCTTAAGTTTAGTAATTGACTTAGTAGAAACTATATTGCAGCAACCTTGACCTGAATTAGTTACCTCTTTTTTTTTTTTTTTTTTTTTTTTAACTTGGGTAGTAATTAGAGTGAAATTAAAAGATAGAGTAGAATAATTACGGTTCACTTGGCACTTTTCATTATGAACATAGTACAGAAAATAAGCTAATAGCTTTTTGAAGTTGAAGTGATATCTATTCACCAGTAATCCTGAAGCAAGTACTGTCTTTTGAAATTATTGATGGAGCTGTGTTAACACTGTCTTCTGTCTATGGATGTGCTCTCAAAAGGTGTTCTAAGGCTTGCTGAATTACAGAAGGGCAAATAAATTCCTCAAACTTGAAGAACTGTAATACTTGGTTTTGTTTTGCATAAAGGCTTTTCAATGGCAGATGCTAATTTTAGACCTTTAAAAAGTTTGAGCATATGTGACACACATTACCATTTGAGAAAAACGTTTTCATTGAATTAAAAATATTGTTTGAATTAAAAATATTGCCAGTCCTATTATGAGAGTATCTGCGTAGCAGAGAATTTTTATGTTGTCAGTTGCCAATTTCTGTATCTTTTTAATTAAAAAAAAAAAAAAAGGCCAGGCATAATTTTAATAATAAGTTATAAATGTGAACTTCAACTCAGAGGTTCCTTCATAAATAAAGTCAACATTTTTTTAATGTGATTTTTATATAGGATATGTACCCTCATTTCATTCTGTACTATTAGTTGATTTTCTGGATATTCACTAGGAGTTCTACTAATAGGAGGAGAGAGAAGAAATTAACTGTTATTTTGGTGATTTGGAAGCATCCGTGGTTGAAATACAATTTATTTACTTTTTTCTGAGTAATGCCTAAGAAAATTATTCATTTTTTTAGGAACAATTAGAAAAAGAGAAGCAGCAAAATGAAGGAAGGTCTACAAATGTTAATGATAAAATGTTTGAAAAGAAGCGTAAGTTTGTTTATTTGTCTACATATTGTTTGTGCATGCATTCTACAAAGGCAGAAGAGAAGGGAGCAGAAAAGATACTTTATACAGTAAATAGCAGAGTTTTAGAAAGTGGCAATAAAACTTTTTCTTCTATATATTTCTAAAGACATTTATGAAAACTGGTCACATATTAGAAGGAAGAATTTTTACTTTATCAACAAAATATGTCACAGTTTTAATTCTCTGATATTTTTCATTTTGGAATGTAAGTACTTGTCTGTGGTATTTCTGAAGTGTTAGTAGCTCTGGATTAGATGTTATTACTGTTTACCCCAGGCCTGTGATATGTTACGTCCTCTTTATTTAAAGTTAACCTTTAAGAGAGAAGTATTTATACTGGACTTTTTTTTAGGTAGAGACAGTAAAACATCATCAGTGTTGGCAAAAAGTATCACACTCTCTGTTCCTGGAAGCTCTTCTGGTACATCAGCAGGTAAGAACTTTTTAACAACTGTTTTAGAATACTTTGTTCTCACATCAGCAGCTTAAAACCCAGCAAAGCTGCAGTTACCATTTGCAGGCCAAAGTTGCACCTACTGCACGTATGTGTTTTCTGTGCTTTTTAGTTTTATTTCCTTCTTTAGTATATAAATACGTGACATAAATAAAACTGATTGTTATTGAAGTATTTAAATCAGTTCCTTCAGCTAGCATAGGGTGACAGAAAATGACATTTAAAAGTGTTCTTAATTACTGAGGAAATGGAATGGTATCCATGTTAAAAATTTTTGCTACTTATAATTTTAGGCAAAGAAGACAAGAAATCCAAGTTGGTTCGAAGCCAGTCCTTCAGTACTCAAGCACTACATCCAAAATATAGCAACATAGACAAGTGTCCTAAGTATCTTTATTATCTTTATTGCTTACCTCATAGGCAACTCTTTACCTAATAGACAACTGTTATGAAATTATATGCACATGAATCTGTGAAAGTATTGAATTGCTCACTGAATTGTGACCTAAATTTTCAGCTTTCTTGTTAGTTGATTAAGGTATGCAGTTTTGAACTGAGGGAGGAAATACCGTTTTAAGACATGCTGAAGCCTACAAATTGTTATGAGTTCCTTTTAAGTTGATATGTGTCATCTTTTATCATATATTAAAAGTATTCTTCAATATGAACTGCTAAATATAAACTTGTACATTTCTTAAAGAAATTTCAGCATAACTTTCTCATTTAATTTTGTCATATAAACTCAGAAGTAACCTCTGATAATATTAAACAGCAGGATGATGCAACTGAGAATACTTTTCTGTAATAAGCTATTTGTTTTTGTTTTGTTTGTTTTTTTAAGTAAAAGCTCTGCTACAGGATATACATCTTCAGTATCAGGAATGGGAAGGAGTTGTATGTTATCCTTTGGTGGTAAGTAGGTTATTATATTACATTTTACATTTGTTTTTTGTGGGTTGCTGAGTATGTGGGCCCCATTAAACAGGCATCCTGTGAGATACCATTCTCCTAAAGAACCTAGAATAGTAGATACCCGATACATTTGAGCACGTTAGTGCTGGTCTAGTTAGTCAATTTTTCAGTTTTGGGTTGGGTTTTATTGTTACATGTTCATTTAAACTTATATTTTAAAGTAGTAAAAGTAAAATGAGTTTGGCATTTCTTGATTAGCATTTTGGGTGTCATAAAAAGGTTGGATTTGCAATTTGCCTCCACCCATGAGAGGGTGAGGAAAGGGATATTACATATAGCTTCTACTGAATTAGGGGAGAGAAACTGCTGTCTAAAAATGCCTCTCTCTCCGTTTGCTGTTGAAGAGTTTGAATGATTAGAGTAAGATGAATTGCTTCCTAGAGGAACCTGTCTTTTTCCACTCACTACCAATAGACACTAGACAATTGGCTTGGATGACACAGCTAACTTTTAAGGAGCTAAAGATTGGCCAGTTAAACCTCACTATTTTAATATATTCAATGTCTTAATCCTCTCTTCCAAAATATATCTTGTGATTATTTTCATTTAGCATTATTTTGTAAAAATACTTGAAGAAATGTTGAGTTGAAACCATTCCCTTACAGGAAGTTAAACTTTTGGATTATTGCCATAGGAAATATGCCACTATTGCCACAGGAAAAACAGCTCATTCTGTTTACTCTCTGTGTACTTTTTACAGACAAAATTCTTTGTCTAAATTGCAACTCTATTACAGATGATTCATTCCGGACTCATTCTACTGGTAATAGTGGGAATGCTGCCTTCCCTTCCAGTTCTTCTCGCAACTTATTTAACTCAGCTGATCAAAAGAACAATGGAAATAAGGAGAGTCAGTCCCGAAAGATGAGCATGTAAGTGATTGACAAAAGGTTAAATCAAGCTTATGGGTAACATTTTCAAAGGGAACTCAAGAGAGCCGTGTAAAATTAAGCCTATATTTATGAATACTTCTGCATCCAGATTCTGAAATACTAAAATAGCAGGGTAGAAATGTGATGTGTGCAATTACAAGTGTTTTTAAGATTGCGTTCCCTTTTAATTAGTCTTTCACATTGTTTTTCGTGCTCATGTTTGTGTTCAGCTGGTACATTATGGGGAGGGTGGAATGGGACAAAGTGAAAGTTAGTGCATTTGATATATAACTACAGTCACAGTGATTTAGTTGCCTTTAGTTGGAGAAACAGAATGTGTGTATTGTTAGATTATTTAATTTTTCCTTTTCCTTCTTTTTATGTGCTTATATGTGTTTACATATTATTATATAACAATTTCATGATGAATTTTGAGAGTTATGCTGAACTGCTACTTATTATTAAGGCTGCTTTCTTTGCCCTACCTTAACCATTCAGATAAAAAAAAATCAATGCTAGGCATCTCCCTCAGGCTGGTTTTCTTTAAACATCAGCCTAAACTGTTCAGCATTTTGCAATAACAAATCAAAGAAGAATTTGTTTGCTCCTGTGATAAAAGTGTAACAGTCTTAGAAAATCGCTGTGATGTGTACTTACTCAGTCAAGTCTCTGTAGACTCTAGCAGCCAATTCCCTGCAGATTCCTTTTATACTTTAACTTGTAGTTCTAAATTACTGTCATTGGACTGGCTGTAATTTTGGGTGTTCAAACTGAGATTTGTCTTTCCTATCAGAGATTTGCTTTATTAGCCAAGGCAGAATGGAGAAAGGAAAGAAGCCAGCTATAACAAGAAAGGGAGGTTGTTTGCAAAAGTAGACTTAGGTATAATAGAAACTAGCACTAGAAGCTGAAAAGTATGGGGAAGTGCAAGCTGAGCCTTGGAAGTCTGAATAGGTATGAGAGACCAAGATTGAAAGGAGAGTGTAGCATGTGAGGTTATGACTTGCTGGTCAAAGATAACGGAGCTGAGATATGGAGCCTGCACCAGATAGGAAAGAGGAGACACCTTACCCTGGTTTGCCAGGTGTAGAGAGGAAACAGTAATGATAGTGATATCTCTTGAGTGGTCCTTTCTGGAGAATTAAGTATCTGTATGAACTCATATTTTTCAGCTTCAGCATTTTCAGATTCCTTTAAAAAACAAACCAAAACACCTCCCCCAACTTTACTCACAGATATAAGTTAATAAAATTCCTACATTGTAAAATAAAACACACAAAAGTTTAACAAATGTAAAAAGTTGCTCTCTGAACAGCTTGCATTCAGCTACTTGTATATAATCTCTTGGGGTGTGATGACAGGATTTTTTTCTACTGGAATTTGACCACCTTCACTGTAGAAGATAAATTCGTTCTGGAATTAAATCAAGCTTGCATAGTGCCCTATTGTTTTCAAAACTACATTTTCTTTGTATAAAAGGTTGGAAGATAAGTAGTGAATGAAGTGGACCATTTGTGTTGAGCCAGTGGTTTCACAGCAGAAGTACCTTAAGGCACCAATTCAAATTGCGCTTTGTCCCTGTCTTTGCCAGAGTCTAATGCCTTCTCTTAAATATTACCCACAGTACTTACTTCAGACCTTTTTATAGGTGATCATTAGGTGGTTACTTATTTCAAAGTGCATGATTTCAAACTCAACAGTTAGATTAATAGACATGCTGATATTTTCAGCTATCTATGAAGTAAACGGGACATGTGTCTTGAGTACATAAAATGACAGACAGTGCTACATACTTTGAAAAATTAGGTGTGCTCAAAACCCCATGTGCTTTCACCCTAATCACTGTATACCTCTGTTCTCTCTCTTTAAAACCAGAAAATTAGTTCAAATGTTGTAAATTTTTTTTTAGCAACCATTGTAGAAATTCCAGTTACTCATCCATCACACGATGATTTGGGAAAAATAAATGGATTAATATTCACAAAGCAGTTAGATGCAAAGATTAGTTAGATGTATTTTTTACATTGTATAAAACTTCTCCAAATTTCAAAGGTTTTTCTATCTGTCACTGAAAATAAAACTGGTATCTTTTGCTTGAATACAAAGGAACAGAAAAAGACTCACACAGAGCAGTTTCTACCTTTGTCTTCAGGCAGAAAATTGGAACATAAGAGATTCAGCTTCAAGTCTCAATGTGCCATTCCCCAGTGAATATCTTAACAGCAGACTATTTGAAAGTGGGTATCTGATCAAACCCAATGATCTGGATGCTCTCTCTGGCTCAGAAAGTCCCTAAACTACATAGTGTCAGAAGCCAAGAGGGTATACTAGGGGGAAAAAAGTATTTTGAGATAAAGAGGAGCAGGCTTAGGATGACCTACATTTAGTTCTGAATAAGAGTTTTAATGTTTTATGTTCTTCTGGGAAAACACATCTCTCAAGCTGGTATAATGTCTGCTACAGATTCAATTTCATTTTTGTAATCTGGCCCAATACTTAATTGTTTTCCTAAGAAAATAGAGCAGCTCTATAAGGAGATATGAAGAGATACAGATACAGGAATGGTTGGTGGTAAATGCGTCCATATGCATAACCTTGTTGACCACAGATATGTTTAGGTGTACGTCTTCTATCTTTCTTTTCTTCAGAAATTCAGTCCTGGTGCTAAATGTACACATACTAAAAAAGAAAAGTCAATTTCAAGGAAACATTATTTTCTAAGTTGAATGATGGAAAAATTGATAAACAAATATATAAGTGGTTGATGGAAATTACTTTTATTGAAAGAAGAATTTGAAAATTGTACAATGAGAGGTGCAATTGAAGAGATGCTTGTGAATGAATGTCACCATCTATGGACTCACTAAGGCAGAAAACTTGTGAGAAAATAATAATTGAGTATATATTTAGACTATATCATCATGTAAATTTATATATGTGCTGGTTAAACGTTGCACTGACCATTTTAATTCTGGCAAGTCCTAGCTTTTAGTTTATTGGCTCTGCAGCCTGAATAAGGTAACTTCTAATATGTTTCTTTTTCTAAGTAATTATGCATGTTTGTGAAGAATGGAAGATTGGGCAGTAATATGTTGTTTGACAATTAAAATATCAACAGATAAAATTAATGATTCTTAGTTCAAATTGATGTATGTTTGGACAAAATATTATTTAATTGCTTAAGTGTAATCTTTTCCATAAAAACACTCTACTGAATATTGGCAAATGTTCACTTTTGACAATATAGTGCAGTTTGCAGGGGTGAAGAATTTCTGATTTCATATATTCATCTTCCAGGAATTTTTCAAAACCCAAAGTTACTTTGGTGGAGAACAGAGGTCTTTACTTACCATTCTCATGAGTTCAAACGTTTTGTTGTCTCATTTCAGAGATGTGTGTGCCAATTAAAATATTCTCTCTTTTTTAAAATAATGTTGATGCCAGAAAAAATGTATCAGTAAATTCTGATCCAGTGCTCACAAGCAGGTGACAAGAAAAGGACCATTAGCTTCATTGTCATTTGCTAGACCTTAGGTAATGCTCAGGCAAAAAAAAAATGCAAGAACTATGCTAAAGATGCACCCGTAAAACTTAATGGTGGAATGCAAATTAATATTTACACAGAGTTCTAAAAGTTAATTCCCGTTCTTTGAAATATTTCTGACCAATATGAACAGTTGTTGATTTCACATAGCTACAACTCTGTGAAGCTGAAGAACAGTATATTTTAAGATTAAAAAATAAGGCTGTGAAATATGCAGAAATTGCCCAAATGACATTGTGGTCAACAGAAGACCAAGAAATAACACTGTAAAGATCTCTAAGTTTCTCTCTCTTCCCCATCCCTGCTTTCCCCAGATTTTATCATGGGTTAAGCTGGAGACCTCTGACATTGTAGCCATGAGTAGACTGCTTGTAGTACCTTAACCATCTCACTTAGAGGGATCTCTACATGACCTTCTGTAGAAAACTTCATGGAGAAATGCACCCTTCTTGTGAAGAATGCCCTCAGGATGTGTCCACTTGGCTTTTTCAGTGGATGAAATAGAGCAGCTTCTAACTTTTAAAGTACAACAGCCAAGAGTTACATTAAAATGTTATACACAATAGCAGTTTGTTATGTTACGTTATTTAATAATACAGCAACAACCTTATGTGTGTTTCTTCTTTTGTATGAAGAAAAAACAGAAAATCAAACTCTTAGATCTTCTGACAGAAAAAGGAAGGAACCAGGGACTGGTGGAAGCAACTCCTGGTTCGATAAGGTGGGAGCAGCAGATGGGAGTCTCTAACGCCTGGAATGAATAAAATGCATCTTGCAATGTTAAAATTTTTTATCTTTTAAATAAAATCCCAAGCTGTATAATATGTTCCGATAAGTAATTTAATGGTTGCAGAATTCTAACGTTGTAGTGAAATGTTATGAGATACAACTTCAGCTATGTGCTCTTAACTGCTGCAGCTAAAGAGAGGGTTTTGTTTTCTTCAATTATGCCTTTGTAGTTCAAATTCTTGGATTTAGAATGCACATATCCATTACTTAATTGGCTTATTTACAATATTAGCAATTCTTAGCACCCATGTTTTATGCAAGAAATAGAAGGAATTGTCATGAATATGAAAAAGTAATCCCACATTTTAAAGAATCTTCAAACCTAATTTAAGACCAAAGTCCAGACCCATTGATCAGTCTATAAAAAACATAAACTTTAGTAGCATTGTGCAGTGAATTTGGAGGTAATGTTTTTACAAGTACTAAGTAAAGTTCATAAAAATCCTGTGGAAGTTTCTAAGCAATCTAAAAGCGGATGTCTCCACATGATATAAAAAAAAGTTTTATTTCAGAAGTTTTGTTGTATAAATACTTGTTTTAATTTTTAGTATTTCAGATTGTATTTTCACTTCAATAATTTATAATGATGGATCTAGTTTTTAATCAGCTGCTATTGCAAGCTATCGTGCTTTGGTGATGTCATCTGCATTTGTTTGTATTAATGCTGATGTTTCTATCAAAATTTGTCTGCAACATGGGAAAACATGCAGTTCTATTTTAAGAAGTTCTATTTATGCCAATACTTGAGAGAGAGCCTATGAAGCTATTGTCAGCTTCTCTATTTCAAAATAGAAGCAGCATAAATATATTGATAAGAGAAATATGTGGTTTTTAAAATTTATTGGTGTATGATAAAGATGATCTGATCTGTGAATGCATATGCGTGTGTGGTTACTTTTTATAATGTAAAAATACGAATGAGGATTTACTCAAAATAAAACCTAGGACAATGCTGTACATGCATGTTCTTGAAAAAAAAATTCTCAGGGCATCTTTTATAATTAAAATAAATAAAAGCATTTACCTATAGAAGGTATTTATTTTAAATAGTAATAATGCTGGATGTATGCTGTCTTGTGTGAAGTACAAAATGTGTCTCTGGATTTGGCACTGTTTTACTGTCTGAATTCTTAAGCTTCCTACACTGGAGTTGGATTTAGGTGTATTCTCTGTCTTCAGTCACAGACATTGTTTGGATTCTGTGGAAACACTCAAGTTTTCAGTTCGTTCTGCAGCCTGGAGTAGGATCTTGTAAATCACAGATTTCTTTAAAAACTTCTTCAAGTAGTATGATGTTTAACATGCAGTATTGATACAGATATACAGATGACCTATACTGGCTCCTCCTGGGTTCTGCTTTTGTCTTATTAATGAAAACAGATACTCCCGGTTCCCCAGGGACAAGTCCCGCAACGTGCCAGCTACAGCTGCTCACCCCTGGGCCACAGGAGACTGCTCAGTCTGTTCTCAGGCCGACTTCTGCCAGGGACCAAACTCAGATCAGCAGTACCCAGCTGCAGAACAGGACTCAAAACTGTGTTTGACCATCTGATGCCTTTACTAGAGCAATGCAGAACAGCCAGGAAGTTCAGAAACTTGAATCCAAGCTATTTCTCCCCTTAATGAGCATGTAATGAGTTCTGTATACAGTCTGTCTTTTGTTCCTTATTGGCTGTCATTTGTCTGTCATTTTTAACTGAGTAATTTCTTTAATGCTGATAACATGTGCTCCACTCAATAACCCTACTATGTATTAAATTCCTGCTATGTAATCTTTAAATGCTCTATATAGACATTTTTTGGTCTGCATGTCTTCCTTGTACAATACTCCTGGTGTCTTGTCTATACTTTCATCAGTCCTTCACACTCCAGACCTCCATCCCAGCAGTCTTTTTTTGGGGCTGCTTACTTCTGGGTTACTTCTGTTGGAGAGCACCAAGACCGTTGAACCCTTCATAGCGTTGTTTTCACCTGCAACTCACAATAACAGCTGGTGGTCAACTGTACAGTTATAATTGGGTGGTTCTCATCAAGAGCAGCATTCCTTCTGTTACTCATTCAGAAGCAAGAAGGAGGGATTCTCTTTCTTTCCTGGTAGATTCATACTGCCACGTGGAGTTAGGTTAGATGCTCCTTCCTAGTCTAGTCAGATACCAGTCTGCCTGCTAAATCCTTTTGTGAGTGGCTTACAGGAGTGTCTAGGCTGCTGTGGGTAAACATCTAATGGTAACTGAGGTGATATTTAGAGGTGTTTTATCAGCTTGAATCTTCTCTTGCGGATGCATTTACTGATGGAGACCTTTGAAGCCCCTATGCCAAATGACTGAAAACTCTTCTGCCCCCTTTTGGGCAGCTATTTTGTGAAGGCTGTATGAGCAAGTAGAGTAATATATCGCTAGAAGTAGCTTTTTTCATTGTTTCATACTTTACGTATAGGACTCTGCTGCTAATTAGTATTTAGTAAATGTTAAAGATCTTGCTGTTCTGTTGGAATCACTGCATGACTTGAATAAAGTGAATTGTATTTAGATCGTGGAAATATTTTTCTGAAAAATTTTGGCCACACCTTTTGGATTTTAGGATCAACTCTGTGAATAGATTTATTCCACTTTTATGGAGTTAATATTTTTCCTACCAAAGTCTGTCTTAGTTCAGGCATAGAATCCTGTTACATAGTTGACCCTGATACCTAGATGATAATACATGCAGAAATGCTGTTTTTAGGAGAGGCCCAGCTTGGTGTTATGAAGTAGTACGGATTCAGATTTTCCAGGTTCAGAATACCTAAGTTATTTTTTAGAATTATTTTGTCTTTAATAGAAAGAATATTTTAAAAGCAGGCACATCATGTACCCTAAGAAAGTGAGGTGATTTGATACTCGTGAACAAACACTTTGAAAGAGGTCACACTCCCAGAGGATGCAGACTTTATGATAGACTCAGTGCAGTTTTGACAGTGATAAAATAAAGATCTCTAGACAGAGTCTGTAAATTCTCTTTTAGGGCTTGATCCTGCTTCTGTTTTTATAAGTGGCAAAATTCTGCTAGCATTGAGGCCAGCAGGCTCTTAAGTCTCATCACAGCAGAAGATGACATTGAGGAATACCAAGCCCGCAGTGTTTGAGAATAAGCTTCCTGAATATTTTGGCATATGAACCTCTGGTTTTCATTCAGACTTATCACTAAAATATTGAATTTTGAAAGTTCAGTTCTCTGGGCTTTTTTTAATTTGCATGGTAGTTTTTACAAGTCACATTTTTGTCACTTTGTGCCTCAGTGAATTTAGCTTGTTACTTGGGCAGTAATAAAATATTAATAGGATGACCTACTGCTAGCTGAAGAGACAAAACAGGTTTTCACATTTTCATATTTCACTGTCTTTTTATTCTAATGTACATTAATAAAATAGAAATAAAGCTTCTCACATACCCCAGAATAGAAACTGTTACCTTTATTCACATTTCTGTTGGATCAACAACCCTGCCAATGAACAGTAATGTTTTAAAAGTTTCTTCAAAAATCATAAAAAGGAATGGTCGATCCACTTTGATGACAGGAGGCACTGTGAATGCAGTTATTTCTGACCCACTAGCTGCTGTGGCCTCCGTTCCTTCTTCATCCACTTCAATTACTGCCTTTTGGACAACCTGAAATGCAATGGGGCAATAAAATATGTGACAGAAATAATTATAAATAAATAAAAATAAACAATTCTGAGCAGAGGTCTCAAGTAGAAATTTTGTTCTTGCAGCTCGTAGCATGAAGTGACCGTTGCGTTTGTATAGCACTCCCTTGTTGACACCTAACTGTTCACGGGAGAGTTTCTCAAAAGTGGGAGGTGTGTTTTCATCAGTCACAAACTTTGACCGGCTGGATATGTCACCCACAGGTGATTTTGTGAGAGCGCAGGCAAATGCACCAATCTTGGCTTTTTTTCCTGTGTATTTCTAATTCGTACATTTGGTAGCGTAGACTAAATATGTGCAGCAATGAGGTATAATCCTGGATTTGTCTGAGGAGCTTCCCTTCCCACTGCAATTGCAGCCTGGCAGGATCTGATCCCTTTTTGTTCTTTCAGCCCATGTGTACCTCTGAGTACTTCTCCTGAATTTGGGTCTGTATTGGTGAACTGCCTCATCAGCCAGTGCATTCCCAACTCCCAGATTCCTAATTCTAGGAAGGACTTATGTGAAGGCAGTTGAAGGACTTCACCAGTTTTGAGCTCTCTGCTAAACATTCTTAAATAATGAAGCTGGCTATCATGATTCACAGCCACAGGATGCTCCTCTGCCACTTTGTAGCTCATGCACGTATTGCTTCTAATATCAGTTAGCAGCTACTATTCAAGTGTGATTTTTTCATAACACAATGGAGTTAACTGCAGAGAATCAGCATCAAATAGTTATATGATCAAAAGGAAGAGAGAAAAGTGCTGCAGATTCCCAAAATGAAACAGTTTATACCAAACTGATGAGCACTGCAATTTTATCTGTTAGGTATTTATTCATAGGATGTTACATTTTCCCAGAAAGGTTATTTTGTTAAGCCGGCATAATTTTGCAAAAGCAGTTCAGGGCCTGGAGTTTTTGAACCTTGTGTAGAAGTGTTTATCATAGCAGCTATTAACAGTTTTGGCAAATGACAAAGGTTTCAGTTAATGACTTGGTGTAGGGACACTTGTAACAGCAGCACCAGTAGCTTAGAAGGATTCTTTCTGATAGGGTACAAATACCTGAAGGGAGGGTGCAAATAAGATGGGACCAGGCTCTTTTCAGTGGTGCCCAGTGACAGGACCAGAGGTGGTGATCACAAACTAAAACACAAGAGGTTCCCTCTGAACATCAGGAAACACTTTTTCACTGTGAGGGTGA